ATCAAGGCATAATATGATTACTTTCATGGGCTTAACCTGTACTGAACCATACAGCTTCTCCCTCGCCATAAAACCCTCATGACAGAGCTCCAGGAGCTTGAAGCAAGAGAGCGTACCCACCGTAAACGATTGGTCCCCTTGTGGTAGACATGCACTAGAAAGAGCATGGTACTATGAATCTAATGAAAGCTTTAGTTAATTTTGGCTGCGCTTGATGAGTTTGGAAGATATTTCCAAAAAAACACCCTCGTTGAGGAAGCAGAAAGCTTGCATGTTAATTTTCCATGGAGGAAACCAAAGAATCGAGCAGATCAAAGCAAGCACGGTGAAGTCTATAGCAATCAAACTGTTTAAATTCTGGAATCACACACAAAACGATTCCTTGACTTGCCCAAGTTTGCATCCACAGAAACATGTTTCCGAGCCTTGCCTTGCACAAGGATTACACTCACACAAAGCTCGTTCACTGTCGAACAAGAGTTCAGATCAAGAACTCAAAAACACCACGACATACAGAAAAAGGTGTCTGTAGCCAAAAAACAGAGAAAAAGGTTGCATCGCACCAATCAAATACTCTTCTCGGAAGAGCATGGTCAACTTGTAAAAGTATCTGTGATTCGGATGAACATGCAGATATCCCGAACAAAGAGACGGAGAACACATCCTTTGCACGGGGGTGGTAGATAAGGGAGCTCCCTTCAGTCCAAGCAAAGACGGCATGGGATCAGACTTACCTCCCGCATCATTCACTCATGTGCCGAGCAAAAACCCTAGTTTGCCAGGCATGTGGATGAATGAGTCGGCAGCTAATCAAAGTCCCATAGCCACCCATGAGTGGACTGAAGGAAGCTCTCTTCGCAAATCCCATGTCAACAACACTGTCGATGGAATCCACAGAACCAACCTCACAAGAAAAAGACGGATCAAACACTAAGCCACATCGATTCTTCCTGAAGAAAGTCGAAAGCCGAGGAGTAGGAGAAACCAGCAAAAAAGGGAAAGCGGGGGAGAGAGAGAGAGGGGAACACAAATCAAGATCCTTCAATCCAACAAGCAATCTCCCGACTTGGAGATCCCGCAAGAGGTCCTTAAATAGCCAAGAACTTGGCTGATATCACATCGATCATATAAATAATCACATAAAACGCAATGTGGTACTCATCCAATGTTCCGTCTAAAACGAGCTCTCCTGCCAATTACCACCAAAAACTTATAGATTAGTGAGGCATAATCTACCAGGGTGTCAATGCTCTAACGACTGTTTACAACCATGTACTCCTTTGATCGTCTCGGTCCTTCGAATCTAATCGGTGTACTTGGAGAGCCAAAAGCTTTCTCCTTCACGTCCACCTCGGTTGCACTGTTGGTCGACCAAAGGACTCATGAACAGACTAATCAAAGGAGGCGCGAAAAAGCTCAGTTTTACTGAAAAGTTCACCATATGGAGATGGCATGAAAAGATCGGTCGTCTCGAAAGCTTGCAGCGCAAATTGATTCCGGTTGTCTGCCATAGGTGTGTACAACCCAATGGATGGGTAGACTGACTACCCATTCCAGTTTGTGATTGTTATCGCCGTTTTAGCAGTTGTTTATGTTTTGTTCCACGTTGAGATGTCAGATCCCGATTAAACTAATACAGTGTTATCTTTAGTTGGCGTATATGGATTAGTAATCAGATCGAACATATGACATATCTATCACCAACTTAGTGGCTAATCCTCGACGATCGTCGAATGTTTTCTGGTGACATAGCTCGTCAGAATCATCGTCTCCGGCATGATGAGTTTCTAATTGGGTTGGACTCAGAATTGAAAACGAGTGTTGAAGCCAGAATCACCAGACTTGACGCATCCATCGTCTTTTCGCCCATACATCAGAGGTCATGCAGAAGTCATAGACGAGCAAGCTGAGGTGCGTGTTCCACGTCCCCGTTTGCCCTCCGCAACATGCAAAGCACTGACCACTTCCACCGACCGAGTCCAATCACCCATCAATCCGAGCCAGAGGCTCCTGCATGCTATGGACGAATCAGTGAGGAGGAGTGTTTGGCTGAGAGAGAGAGAGAGAAAAGGAGGCGAGAAGTCGCAGACGCTGGTTTTCGTAGGGAAAGGACGACGGGGGTGACCTTGAGATCACATCACAACAATAATGGCGGGAGAGACTTGCTGTAAAGAACCTGCAGCTCTTTCCTGGCGTTGATCGCTACTCTTTTGGATCACATCAGATTCTGTCCCCCTCGAGCCTCTTCAAGAGTCATTTCAACGCAAAAGCCTGAGAGAGAGAGAGAGAGAGAGAGAAGGGCGTGGTGGCTTTTTGAACTCACCGCTGCCTCCCCAAGTAAGAGAAGAGAAATTAGACGACGAAATTTTGTTCATCGATGCACCGTTGCACGTTGATTTGTGATTGGATTGGAGAAAGGTTGTTCCGAATCGAAGTCCAATCTTTCTCACCCTCGAAACTTTAAGGTGTCTTCCGTTCTTGTGTTTCTTATATATCATCCCTAATTTTTATTATTTTATAAATATTTTTTTTTCCTTTCCTTCCTTGTCAAACATCTCGATCACTTGTCTTTTATCCATCGTTACCCGTTGCCTTCGTCGCTCCCACCGTAAGCTCCTATCGCTTTTATGCAATGTCTTCTGCACGCTTTTATGCAATGTCTTCTGCACGTCGTGCCCGTCTTCTTATCTCCTCTTTATTATATAAATGAACTTTTGATTTTTGATTTATATTTTTTATAATAAAATTTATTTATTTTTATTTATATTATTGATAAAAAAAATATTATATATAATTTAAGAATATAAACAGAACAAATATGAGCTAGTGCTCTACCCATCTCTGTCTTATAATCACATAAATAATAGAAAATGTCTTGACCCCATCCTATCAGCATATTATCCTCGTGAGTACTTATACTTACGATCATAATTGACACATCTATTTCTTGTTTATCAGACTCGTCATCTTCGCTCCATGGAGTAGAGGAATGGCATCTATCATCATTGGTGAACGTGGTGTTGTTATTAAATTATATGATCATATCTAAGATATATTATAGATATAATTAAATTCTGATTATAATTATAAAGGAAGTCTAACTATAGTAGGATTACTTATAATTAGATAGGGACTCTCCTAATTATTATCCTATATCCGTTATGCTCCTCTATAAAAAGACATCATCTCTTAGGGATGAAACAACTAGTTATTAAGAGGTTACAAATTTTCTCTCATCTCCCTAGTTCCTAATCCATCGCTTATAATAATTCCATGACCGATAGAAAAAGAGAAAAAGATGAATATAGTTCTCCTTGTATATTAGCATCGTAGCTTTCTAATCAAAGAATGGTACACTTGTAGATTAAATAAAAACTTTCTAAATGACATCGAAAGTATATATCGTAAAATTGATATTTCATTATTTGATTTTAGTTTCTATATTAATTTTTTTAGGCATAACAGTAGCATAATTATGATTTTTATGCTCACAATATCATAGCTATGTTTTGAAATTAACTATTTTAGCTCATAAAATCATTTTAGATCTATTTTATATTTAGATATATTTATTAGCACTCTTTACTTATAAAAAAGTGTTATTTGATTTTGATTTATGATGCTTAAGCGATCTATCGATGTTGTCGATATGCTCTTCTATCTAATTTTTTGTCTTTTGCTTAAGGGCAATGTGAAATTTCTCATGTTTAATTGATAGATCATTGTCAATAATTTGTTGTCAACAATAGTATTATTAAGGGTGGTGACTTTCGATCGTCACAAGCCCAATTATAGATGGCAGATGTGTATGTAGCGAAAGTGTCATGAGGTATGATAGTTAACGATGACCGCATGCACAGTTGCATGTATGCAGCAACCTTATGATGCCAAACCTACTTTGGTCGCAAGCGATTGCAACAACTACAATAGCGTCGTTGCTTATGGCGGCTATGGTAGTGTCGTTGCCTATGATGATTATAGCAATGTTGTTGTTGTGGCATCTATTAGTCATGACCAGTATCAACTAGACATCGATGGCTAGTGGCTATGTCGAGAGGAAGCATGGACACAATTGTGCTCTCGACAATCATTGGGCAATGTGTGTGCATAATCGAGCATGGGCACGATGACACAACATCACACGACAATCGAAGAGGTCGCTGGTCGGTAGTATAAGAGCAGTTATAAGCAGCACACATGCAAACATTGTAGGCCATGCATAGGCCGCGACCACGCACCGCAATGACTACATGCCTCGCACATCGGTCACGAAAAAGGAAGAAAGAATTAGGGTTTTTCTTTTGAAATTATAGTTTTGACCTTATAAATCCTTTTAATTCAAATTTATATACTTTTAATGGTATCTACCCTTTAAGAATTATATAATTCTATTATATATCCTAAATAAAATTATAATTTTACCTCTCAAAAATTAAAATTTTTTAGCTTATGTCCTCAATTATAAAATTAAATAATTTGATTTATTTTATTTAAATATTTTGATCATAAATGTATTTTGACGACTTAATTGGATTTAGATTCCATAGGAGAAAATTAAGTTTTTATTAATTTTTGATTTTGATCAACTTTAGTTTTGATAAGACTAATTAGATGGATGATTGGTGAAAATCTATGAGCCCAATTTGAGTAATCCATGATAAATTTGGTGAAATCAAAATGACTTGAATTGATAGGTTTGTGAGATATGAATTATAATAAAATTTTTATCAATTAAAAATAAAAAAATTATAATTTCTATTAAATTTTTTTAAATCTTTCACTACCTCTAATCATTTCACACAATATGATTATTATATCAAAAAGTATTATAAATATATACCCATATCATTTGAAACAAAATTTTCTCATCTTATCTTATATTTAAACAATTCTTTTTTAATTCTTCCTAATAACTTCACACATTCATCTTTATATTTTTTATCTCAACAATAAAAATTTCTTATACATATTATTTCTTAATTGTCCAATACTCTAATCCATAATCCATAAAACAAATTATTGATTTCACAATCTGATGTTCAAGCTTGTTTAGAGAAAGCTTCTGCGCATCTCAAACCCAACACAAGACGGGAACCTCAAGATACATACCGTGAACACCCGGAAACCAACCTACTGGGCTCCACATAATATGACCCCAAACATCTAACGTAGCATCACTGTGAAGTGTTGAGGAAGTGGGCAACAGCCTTGTCAGTGTCATTATCATAAATAGCCAGCGCTTCTGCCACATTTTTTGAGGAGAATCCCATCTCACGGAGAATGTTGTACCCTTTTACAAATTCTCTCACCTGAAACAAAAAGGTATATGAAAGCATGATTTCAGTTTATTTATGCAACTTGAACATAGAAGTGAGCCATTAAAGTCAGCTCTTTGTACCAATCTGCTATATTATCACTCGAGGATTATGAACTCAACTGCTAAAAGAGATTTGAAAGGAAGAAATGCAGCTCGGACAATATACAAGGAAAATCTTGTTCGGTTAACTCTTTTAGAGAGAGAGAGATGTCTTCCAAGGAGACTGGCGACATACCTTCACTGGATTGTCTCCATAATTCAGAACAGCAAGTGACACTGCTTCACGTCGAAGCCCAGAGGCAACATACTTATCCACAATTGGATCCCCTGTTGATGCCTTCACAAAATTAAACAAATACAAATTAAGAACACTTTGATTCATAAATTTTACAATCTCTGACGAATATAGTGGGGTTTAGTAGTTGATCAAAATAATAATAACGGCCTCCTGCAAAAAGTAAAACAGCCCAACAAGTGATCAAACCACCTAGAGTGTTCAGGTACATTATGACACATGTAGCCACCTGTGAGATTCTTATTATGATATTAAAAAAAGTCAATGTTCAGAAAAGAAAATCCACAAATGAACATGAAAAATAATAGTAGCATAGGAAAGAGGACATGGTCATATTAAAACTACTGCTTTATTTGGATAACATTTGACAATATTTAAGAAGAAATTTTGGTTATATTTTATAGAACTATAGCTAAATGAAATTTAGTGTCAAACAAGTTCTTGTTGTACCATCGAAGGAGATGAAGATGATGATGCAGACGACATCTTTGATTGCTGGTTTTCAGCCGTAATTCTGCTCCAATTCTGACTCTCTTTCTCGGCCTCAGCTAGTATTTGTTTCTCAAACTCAAAATCAAATTGGAACTTGCTACGAGGAACCTCAGGCATTTGTGGAGCCAACTGAGGCTGAAAAATTGGATGTTAATTAGAGAAACATAAATTTGCAATGAAAAAATTAACATTTACAAGACATTTTTAATCAATAAAATAGAACACAGGAATCAACTTATAAAATATATCTCAATTAAGCGTTCTTTTATTTTATGTATTGTTAAGCTGTTTTACATTATATACGTTGCTCAACATTCGATAGAGTAAACAAGGGGTATCTATTGGAAAATAATATTAGGGAAAAGGCAGTACTCTTTCATGGAATGCTACCCCAAACTATACGTAGAACTTAAGGCCAAGATATGGTCTTTAGCAAGAACAAATTACCAAGTATGCTCAAATGGTAATATCAGAAATTACATTTTTATAAAAAATATCCTAATGATAGGTGTATACAATTCAAATCTACACATATTTTGTTGGCCCCGCCATATCATCAGCTTCAGATGAAAAAAAAACATAAACTATGACTTTTGTGGAAAAGCGTTATAATCTTTACCTATCCCAACATTTTCTTTTTCAAATAATAGCTAGAGACTCAAACTCCACAAGATTCAGTTTTATTCTGGATGAAGTCCAGTCTACAGAACAGGAGGAGAGACAATACTGCAAATCATTCAGTAGCTCCTAAGAGCAATAGACATAACAAATAAAAAAGGATTCAAATTGTGTTTAATTTAAGTTTGAATCCAGCCTATAGCAGTGATTTAAAAAACGTTAAGCGCCAAAAGACACCAAGGTCTAAAAACGCCCGAGGTGCTAGGCACTCGCCCGAGCAAAATGAGATACTAAAATATAAAAATATATAATATAATTAATAAATATAATTATTTAAATAAAAATATGATATTAAATTAAGAAAATCTTGTAAAATTACAATATCACATTAACAAAAAGTCTCAAAATTTAAAACAATAACAATAATTTCAAATAAATAAAAATTAACAGTATTAAAATCAAAATTATATTATTAATCTAATAAAAAAAATACTATTACTCAAGGTTCGCAATACCGTACCGTACCGGTATTTCGACCTGGGCTCGGTATCGGTACGGTACGGTATACCGAGCGGTACACCCAGGTGTACCGAGTACTGTAGCACTGCTACATTGCTACAGTAACTGCTACAGTGCTCGGACCGGTAACAGTCGGTCCGCGTACCGAAAACCTGTCGGACCGGTACGTACCGCCCGTACCGGGCGGTACGGCTCGGTACGGCAAACCCTGCTATTACTAGTATACAATTAGTAGTATACTGTTAATATATTGTTAACAGTATACGAAGTGAGAAGAGTGTGAGTAAGAGGAAGATCGAGGCTGTTGACTAAGAGCAGCAGCAACGAGAGCGGGAACGGCGAGCGATGACAGTGGCAGCAGCAGCGAGTAGCGGAAGCGGGAGCGACGAGTAATGATAGTGGCAACGGCAGTGGTAGCAGCGAGCAGCAATAGCGAGAGCAGGAGCGGGGAGTGACGACAGTGGCAGCGACAGCGAGGAGAGATGACAATGGCAGCGGCAACAACAACAGTAGCAGTAAGCAGCGGCAGCAGGAGCAACGATAGTGGCAGCGACAATAGTAGCAGCGAGCAGCGGTAGCAAGAGCGGCCAACAAGGTTAGGGTTGGGAAGTCGCGAGAGGAAGGTTGATATCGGTGCTTTAGTTAGTTCGATTGAACCAACTAAAGCACCGGAGACCGGACTAGACCTAAAACGCTGGTTCGGTCGCCTGGTTTAACCCGCGCGCTCACCCGAAGCGCCCGACGCCTGGGCTCGGGCGAGCGCCATGCGGCGCCTCTTTGAAGCGTGCCGCCTAGAAATGAAGCGAGGCGCGAGGCCCGAGCACCTATTGAAATCGTTGGCCTATAGTAACAGGTCTAGGGTTGAATCAAGTAAGTCCAAGAAATCTTTTCTAGCTGCTTTTGAAATTTTCATATTGGTCTTCTGTCAAGATCAATTTTAGATATTCATTGTCAACAAATTTTAATTTGGATTCTTAGTTGAACAACAACTTCAAGTCTTCAACTAGGTCTGCACTTGATTTAGAAGCCAAATGCCAATTAAATCTTTTATCCAAGGTGCTAGATAATTATTCAGGAGCTTTGCATGCAGCAAAATAACTAAGATTCATAAAAGAAAAAGAGTTATCAGGTTTATTTTGTACAATCATCTTATTGTCTCTTTGTTCTCAAATAAGTGATTCTTCCCTCACCTACTACACCATTACTTCCCCAAATGACAAAATGATGGTAAACCATTTGGCAAATCTGAAACTGAGACTATATTTAATGGCTTGATACAATAGTTAAAAGGCTATAAAAGAAAAATCAGATAAGTTTGTTAAAGTTAAACTAAACTAAGCGTGGAAAATAGATCAAAATAAAAATAAATTTTCACTAACATGTAAATGCACAAGCATGTAACCAAGATAACACCATAATAAGTACTTTAACATGGATTCGTTACAAAAGTGTCATGTGAACGAGCCTTGTCAAGTAAAAGCTTAGTAAAAGCAAATCTTCATGATGATAAAGTCCAAGTTTAGTTTATATATTCAAATAAAGAGGAGATCCAAGGTCGTTAGAAAAATAGATTTGTGTTATGATCAGAAAGGAGGAATTGCATATCTAAGAAAAGTTAGATGGAAATTCTGAAGGTAAAGAAAGGCTATTCAAATATTACAAATTCAACCATATATATCTCAACAACCATGCAGGTTGCTTGACATGTAAAATTCAGTAAAAATTGTCTATAATAAGAAAATATAAAACACTTGACCACTTACAGGTGTTATCTGATATTCTGGCTTTATCATGACTTTGATACCAAGTCCTGCAGCTAAACAATTTTAAAGTTCCATTATGTGTGATATGTTGTCCATATTAATTAACATTCCAAGAAAAAAAATAATGGTAGACATTAACACAATAATTTATAAAATTGAAGCTAGCATCAGGAAGAATCAAATTGGTAATAGCAATTTCAGTTACAGTTGTATATAAGATTTTAACCACTGTAGACACTATGTAGCCAATTGTAAGAAAGCAAATGTTCATAATTAGGTAGGACAGCAGAAGATTAGTATTTAAGAACATAAAGAAATTATCAAATTAAGTGAAAAAAAATATTCATTTTATTTATGGTGATGAATATTTACCAAAGGTTTATATTCCTTTTTTGATAATTGCTACGCAAATGTTGCAGACAAATGTCAATGAATATGGTGAACACTATCAAGATGTTAATGGGTAAAACAAGCAGGTGCACCAAAAGTCCAAAAGAACCATTAATGATCTTGCACAGGCAAGTTTATCTTAAGAAGGAAGCCCATAAAGACAAAGAAAGATGCCAGCTATGCAGCAAACAAGTAAAAGAAACAAGGGGGACATGAAATTCAACAATGACTTAGTATGATACTCTAAAAGATTTTATTCAGCCTGTTATCCTTTAGTATATCACAAATAACAGCAAAGTGACATTGATCATTAAGAAGTATCTTCAGGTATAATGTCAAGAAACACTGCTTAAATGCTTTTCTTTTCCACCCCAGCTACCTTGTAATTCGACATGTAGTGGATAATTTAACTTATATCAAAAAATCACCAGGACCTTATATAGAAAAGTTACACCATAAAAGACTCATTTCAAGATTCATATGTTTTTCTCACTTAATTAGCAACACAGCAAAGTTCATAATCGAGCATTAAGATATTAATTGAATACAGTTGAGATATGATGGCATTTACTACCGCAAACAAATTAAGAAACTCACCTATCAAGCTAGTAAATTAGAGTTCCAAATTCTCAGAAGACAACATTTAATTTCTTGATACATTCTCCATCAATGACATTGTAGTATCTAGGATCAACAGATTTTAACTGATGTAGAGTCGATAGTGAGTCTCTAAGATGTAAGAAGAAGAAGAAAACTCATCATTTAGAGTAAAAAGCATTTAAAAAAAAATGAGCCTTGGGATCCATGCTCAAGATAATATTTTATTTTAAAAACTGCTAGAATTCTTCATGAATTAGTCAATTCATGTATTAACCCCTTTGTTACATACCCCTAAATAACCTCAAATAATATAGTGCACATCTCACAGCACTAATGGACTTAGGATGACTCTAGCACGTTATCAGTAGTAGTCACGTTAAATAGATGCCTCAATCAACTCAAACTTTCACAATTAAAACACAAATAAATTGTAGCTGCAAAAATTTGGGGAAAAAATTGATTGTACTGAATTGACAAATCCTATCAACTTTCGGACTTCCTTCGCAATTCATTAATAATCCTTGTCTTCTTGTCGTTAGCTTTTTCAACTTCAATCTAAGATGACTGTTTTTATTTGAATAGCATGGAGAAATTTTTTTTTCAGTTGGTAGAGAACCTACTTTATTCCAAGAAAAGATTCAGTGATTAGCGTCGACAACGATCTAAATCATCTGTTTTCTGCCGAAGTTTTACAGATTTCTTAATCAAAGAGGATGATCGAAATCGACCGTGACTTAAATTGGAAAAGAATCTTTTACCAAACAACCAGAGATATTTCCCCTCAGCAAATTTTGCCCAATTCGAACATGCCGATCCAAAATCAGTGAAGCAACGACGGATTGAACATAAGATCCGATCATCAAAAAATTCATAACACATGCATCTAGGGGGGGTTTTCGAGGAGTAACAGAAACAATCATACCAGACGAAGAGGGAGGAGGAGCAGAGGAAGCAGGGTGATGAAAAGAAGCTCCGCGATCGGGCGGAGCAGCCGCGGCGGAATTGACCCTGGGGTAGAAGGAGGGGGCGGGGGCGGCGCCGGTGCCGGCGCGGTACATGGCGGCCTGCCGCGCGCGGAAGTCTTGATCCATGACGAGGAGGGAAGCGACGACCACGAAGAACTCGGAGAACGAAATCGAGAAGGGGTAGGACTGCGAACTCAAACCCTTCTCCAACCAACCAACCCGACCATTATAGTACATTTCCAAGAAGCGTCGGAAGGTTTAATCTGATTGGGAAACCACGAAAACATCCGGTTCGGTAGAACGGTCTACTGCGAACCAAGCCGAAACGAAATAAAGATCCCGACGGACCGAACCGAACTAACTCCAATCATCCGCCTCAGCCTTAGCCCGCAGGCCCAATTAGCTACAATGAGTGCCACCTGATGTGATGCTAATTATTTGGCCCACTTAACATTAGGCTTTCTTTGATTTGATAGCCACCAGTCAAGAGTGACGCATCACACAAGGTTAAAGTCAACACAACATCCAAAGTTCCGACGATATCTCATCATTGGTCCTTGTGATGCAGTGATTGTGTTGCTTCACAGTACAAGTATGCATGCAATTATTAGAAACAAGCAGGAACTCATAGTGGGATTCATCACTGAGAGAGCAGGAACTCAAAACCATCAACAACACAATGTAGGTGCATAGTAAGGTATGCTTGGTCTATAAAGCATCTCTATTTACCTCCATTGTGTCTTACTGCTTGCATAGGCAGCATCAAACATCACCAAGACAGGTCCACCAAGAATCTATCCACATTGCATAGGCATAGCAATGACAACTTTGTTGACCAGAGGTCTCACTGACTCCACTGGCAGCCATTGATACAGTTCAAGCAAGAGAACTAGATACTCATGCAAAACATGGAGATATCACTTCAAAAAGCATCACAAGAAACAAAAGTGTGACCATGATTGCTTGTATTGATTCCACACTGAAAGAGGACCACACCATCCAGTGAAGGATCACAATGGCTTTTGATTTTTACATTTGCTGACAAAATGTGCCCTCCCACCTATCAGAAGAATTAGTCTGTTAAATACCTCTGAGTAAAATAGATAAAATAGATGAAATAGGAATAAAGATGGTCAAATATTTACAATGCTCGAATAGCACTCAAGTCATTTAAGAGGCGTCATACATGTGACAATCCTACAACCCATATTTCTCCTTTAATGTAGCGACTGCAGTCTTGCCATCACCAGTAAAACCATAGAAACACTTAAGCAGGCATCACTATTCACATGCAGCATGCCCAGTGGTGATTGTCAAGATTACCAATGATATAGGGAGCAAATAAGAACAACCAGACTATGGCAAAGCTTTAATGAACTGAAGGCCCTGAAACATCACTTGTAACCCCACCCGTGTCTCCACCTCTGTCCAGACAAATTGGCTCTGTGTGGTCCTGAAGTGGCAGATGCTCAGATATTTCAGCCAGGGATTTGAGGTTGCATTTGATCAAGACCTCCACAAAGTAGCAAGTCTCGTCCTTGGTGTTCCCATCAGGCACATCCACTACAAATGATTCGATCACCAGCGTCCCTGGTCTCCCATCAATGATTTCAGGATGGGCACTTACAATGGATGAATAGTTCTGGCAAAATGATAGCTCATAATCAGCCATAAACTAACTTACATTGGATGAATAGTTCTGCATAGCAAAATGAGAGCCCTGAAGTAGTCAGGTTATAAATTTCATATGTATACTTTAACATTTTGGCCATACGTCTGAAGCATCCACCAAACTGAACAAAAGATGGTAGATGATCAAGAGATCGATTAGCAGTTAACAAATCAAGAAAGAACGGATTTCATTATCAAGCAATTTCTATAATAGCTTGAATGAGCTTTACAGTCCTAAAAACAGAGAATATGAACATACACAAGATCTGAACAAACTGGTTAAACGCATTTGTAGATTTAAGTAAATGGACAAATGAATTAGCAGATCCAAAGAAACAGGACAATAGCCAAGCATCGATTGATAAAGAACAAGTGAACCTAAAAGTTTATAGTCGAGTAGATTTAAGTGATTATTTACTCCTAACTCTTCAAGCAAAAATTATATATCCAAGAAATTTTCCACCTTGAAAAAGATGATGATCACAAAAGCTAATCAAGAAATTAAGCTAATATGAGGCATACAAAAAAATTAAACACATCTATATATTCTAGAAGGAAACCACATGCTCTTTACCCTATGTCAAATGGTAAGAATCCGTACTACTGATCTATGTTTCTGGGATTATTAGCTGCTTCTAAAGAAAACATCTCTATGCTAATCAATCAATGAAAGAACTGGACCGTATGAAACAGAATCGTGATAATCTATATCATCAAGCACAGAAGTTTCATCATATGCATGATAGTCATACTAGTTTTCTGTGCACTCATCAGGAAGCAAACCAATGGTTAATAGGGCACATAAGATTTTATCAATTGTGATATTACAAAAGCTCAAATCAGGAGATAAGGTTATGCTAGTAACGTATTGTTATCAGAACATAGTCTAATTTCAAGTAGAATATAGTTCACCAGAACAAGAAAAGAAAGAAACAGAATGTGGTAATTAAACAGCAAGGAATTGGGAATATGCAGCAGTGAGAAGATCAACAGACCTTGAGCCTATGGTCCCCTCCAACAATCTTAAAGCTGAGGATGTGTTCACTGTCGTCGAGATGCTCCAACCTTTCAGTGCTGGTGGTGGCAGGGAGTCCAGATTTCACATTAACCTCCCTCAAGCTCCCGATTCCGAGATCCCCTTGTGCGATGCACCTGCTCACAAAAGGCTTGTACTTCTGTGGCTCATCAAATCTCCTAACAAGAGACCACACCTATGAACATATGAGCAGAACAGATCATCGTCAAGTTATAACTGTAATCATGATTCATGGAATAGAAGTTTGTGAGAAATGAATGTACAGCCGCCCATTAACTTAAAGAATTTTGCCATCAAAACACTCCAAAAAAATAGATAATCAAATCACTTTGCCATCAAAACATCAAGTTACATCTTATGTATCCAGCACTTTGGAAACGTGAATGTTCAATGCATCAAAGCAACCATAATAAAGGTTCCAGGCAACAGAGCAAACATGTCCATCGGAATAATTCCTGTCTTCTTCGATCTAGAGGCAGCTTGAACTAGAACGTCAGAGAAGGACAATTACATGAGTGCCAGGAAAGGAAGGATCTTACGAGATGGACGGGGGCTTTGATGTGCTTGAGGATGGCGGAGCTGCACTGGTTCTCCTCCGGCTCGTGGCAGTGGAACCTCCTCATGTACTCCGCCGCCACCGGGCGGCAACCTCCGCCGGGAGGGTGCATCTCGTCGGCGAGCCGCCACGACCCTGCCCCTCTTCCCGCCGCAACGCCTGCCCCGCTTATCCCCACCATCTTGCTTCGATTGAACGCACCGAATCGCACCCAAATCGAGCGATCCCCAGATGGCTCCCTTCAAGCCCGCCTCACTCTCGTTTCTGATCGGATTCATATTCGTAGAAAGTAACCTTCACTGGAACAAATTTACGGGAAAGCCACCGACGCTTCGGTGGCTGTAATCACTTCCTAGCGTGTGAGAATGGTGGTATGAACGTAATTATGTTCATTTACATACCATCATGTCGTAAGCATGACAGAATATTCGAATAAAATTAGTAAAAAAATAAAATAACAAAATGAAAAGAGATCGGATGCAGGCCCGGCCCGGCCCATCCCAGACCACTATTTTTTATTATTTATATTGGGTAAATTATATGTAAGAAAATAAAATAAAAAAAACATAAACAATTCTATTTAAGTGAACATATGCTAATTAACATGGTTAAAATTCGAGGGTAAGCTTCATTGGGCAAAGACTAGCTTTCCTCACCATGCCATTGAAGTAAAACATGGGTTCACCATTTTATAGAAAAAAAAGCCAGATGAAACATCAGTTTAAAGAGTATCAAAATCACCAACAACACATGCAATTTGGTTCAGCTGAATTCTCACTAGAGTGTGATGGTTCCTCCTTATTTCTTCTTTGAATTTTGTAGGTAGTGAGTGACTTTGTTTTATGAGACAAAAGGAGGAATATAGTGGCTGCTGACTGTACTCCTTGCAAGATGAAGGGTGCAAAACAAGCAACGTGCCAAGCACTAATATAGGGGCTGAGATGGGCAAGCAAAAGCAAATTAGTCAACTTAAAGAGTTCTTATAAAAACGTACAATGGATGTTAAACTCTTTTGTTGGAGAGAGCAGTATACAATTTAACTAACTACAGTAAACTTACTCAGCTAACTTGTATGTGGAGAGAGCTGAAGCTTCCACCCTACTGTAATCAGACCTTTATATCCTTCCAATGGAGGGGTATACAAAGTTCTTTATTTTCTTGGAAAAAAAGATTCAGTGTTGTTGACATTAATACGGTGTAAAATGGCGATTCAATCAACATTACAGACACAGCTCAACAAGTAGATTCATCGATTCGACTCTTGTGCAGTTGAAATGCTGGATTAACCCATGCTCCACAGCTGCACTGCATCCCTGCCCAGTTGAATGAGCCTAAACGAGCTTTGCAACCTAAGCACCAAAGTTTCTCCTCGACATGGCCGCCTTCCACTGGGTCACACAGCAACCAGGGATTGCGGGTTAGTTTGATTGCTGCATGACGCCTCTTTTGCAGTCTCACAAGTGATAAAAGTGTTGTTTCTAGGTACCTGCTTCCATCCACTTCATAGGCTCCACAAATATTGAGGAACATTCAGGTTTCTTATCGGTGTTCGATGGGTCGCTTCGTTTGTTCCATTTGAAACAAGATTCTCCTTTACCTTGTTCGTGTGGTACCACGTTCCCTTGTGAGGCAACAATGCGGCGGCATCTTTTGCAGCGGTACAAAGTTTGAGGTTTCTGATCAGTTTCCATTGCCTATTTTCCAACCAACATGATATTAGAGATGACAATTACCTGAGCTGTAGCATATATCAATGAGGTCGTGATAAGGGATACTCACACCACAATCTTTGGAGAACACACAAACACACACACACACCCCTTGTAGACGTCTCTGTTCTATAAAGATTTCTACAAGGTACTCCAAAGAGCTCTTTTGATGGTCAAGAAATTACATGATCAAGCAACAATAAGACATGCTACTAAAAGCAAAAAGTTAACAGAAAGGAAGAAATGCCAAAACAAACAAGATATGACAGATAAAAGTACAAGATAACCATACAGAATCACTTGTCAGTAATCTATATGATCAAGGTTTATAAATGAATTCAAAGTAACTAAGCTATATCATAACTCTTCTGAGACTCCACAAATTTTAAGACAACAAACAATAAAGACAATAAAGACCTTGTTGCATTAAGAGTACAAGTTTTGCACCTGCACCAGTTTCTTACATTGAGGAACAAACAGAATACTCCAACTGGTAAACTGACACGATGCAGAATGTTTTCCTTTTTCCATGTTGCAGTGAACTACATGCTGTGATTTATTTATTCATTCAAACTTAATGATCCAGGTATCACAAAAATCGATCATCCAACTAGTACTCTAAAAAGAGGAAAGATTTGTTGGCACTACAAGAAATTGTAATGCAGTCCTTACAAAGTGTGCATACCTGCTAATCTGAGAAACGGAGACATGACAAATCGACATATAATCTTACCACCTTAATTTCCTCCTGACAATTCATGAACATTTTTCCCTAATTATTAGTTTGCATTTTCCCTAGTACTAGTATTTTTATTTTAAGCATGTTCTCTATACTAATACGATCCGACCAAAAATCGATGTCTTTCACCCAAGACCCAAGGATTAAATAAAATTATCTTATCATAGAATAAGTTTTTCTAACAAGTATGATCTGTAAAAATGTCAATGTGAAGAAAATAACTGAAAAATGAAAACAGACATTTCACCTACAAATAACTCGAAAATAAATACTCTTAACCCATCACTAACAAAAATCCTCAGGAAGAAATAGAAAATTATTTAGGGCGATGGTGATCATAATTTTGACAAGTAAGCCTTTGGAGTAAAAGGCTCATAACTTGCTTCCCTCAGAAATTTTGTGCTGACGACACACTTTATCACCAAATCTATCAAATGTATATGAATTGTGATAATAACCCATAGTAAGAGAGAATTATTGCTCCTGTAAGAGACTATTCAACATAATGTTTATTTCTACATATATATCGTCTGGCAATGGAGAAGACTGCAAGTGCAAAAACAAAAAAGAAGTTCAGAATTCAGCTGATAAATCTCAACAGAGATTAGAATTCCCAAAGCTCAAGCAACTATAAGATGGCCATTTCCATGATGTCGGGTCATGCTTAATTTTGCGGCCACAATCACTATAATCAAACACGAAGCAGGTGGCCCAAAGGGAAGTTCATCACCTAAACCCTAAAGCTGAAAATGATCGATTCATTACTGTTCGAATTAGTCCCAACCAAATACTCATAACAACTAAGGTCCCGAACACTACTGATCAAAGAACTATCACACTAAATAATAAAAAAAAAGAATATCTGAACCCAGCCGAGAGAGAGAGGACAGATGTACCAAATGCGAGCTTTCCGCTTCTCCGGATCGGAATTGATGGTTCTAAGGCGGAACCCTCAAGAACACACCTCGCCCAGCCCAGAGAGTCGTCGGCGACACCCGTAGGGTTTCGATTTTGAGATAAAAAAGGTCTGAACCCCATTTTATAGTTTCTACCGGTCTGGTTTAGTTAGATCGGTCACGTGACATATGAACCAACAAATTAATCCAACTACTAAACATTACGAGATCGATGTCAATTCATCTACCACCGATTTAATTCGGCCGGATCGGGTCCGGTTCCGGATCAAATCCAGACCGGGTCCGGCCCACTAACGTAGGAGCTCCACTTTTGGTGGGGTCCGGGGTAAAAGGACGCAAGCGTACTTTTGCCGCGTATAAAAAGACGGTAACGTTCTGCAAGCTTCCGAATACGTTGTCTTCTAAAACCCAAATAAATAAGAATTTATGTTTACTTGGTATTCTTTTTTTGATCCTCATCCCGATAGGTAGTATAAATACTAACTCTCCCATCTTAGATCATTGCCGCATCGGCAAAATCTCCCTTTTTGTCTTTATTTGATATCGTAATTAATTATCGATCTCTCCTCTTTCCTCGCTATCTAAAAGCCTCATTGTCAGTCTACAGAGTGCTCTGTTTGTTCTGCTTTGCATTGTCTCCAGAGTGCTGAATCATAATCTATTGAGCTTTTTTCTTTCGGAGGGATGGATGCATTGCAGCTCCTCTCGATCTTGTTATTGGCAAAGATACAAAGAGGGAAGAAGAAGAATGTATAGTGTATAATTCTCATGTACTACTACTGATGCTTAGTGACCACCGTGTATCAAGTACGTATACAAGATCTCGTTCCAAGTATCTGGAACACCCGGCAAACACCAGTGGATGCAGTCTGCGTACATCTCTGGATTCAATCTCAGCTCGCCCGTGATGAGCTTTCCTCTTCGCTCGGTGTACACGGAGGTGTGAGCGTCCTTGCGGAACTCCGATAGCTGCGTGATGTTCAACATCGTCACCTTCACCTTCAACCCTTGCAGAGCTTCTGCCACTGCTCTCATGACATCTAAGCTGGATCCTGCTCCCCAGAATGGCCGCTGAATCGGGTACGACTCATTGAAGCAGTTTCCGTTGCTCCCGTTCCTCCACTCCCAGCTCCTGCAAGAGCTGCCATCAGCAGTTCCTGCAACAAGAACGGAGAAGGGTTGTGCAGGCTTACCAAAGATGGGTTGGTGATAAGCTCATGAAGTAGGCCTTCTGTGTGTCGGGATTCATAGCGGAGTCGATCCATTTTGCCCAGGTCCTCAGCATCAGTTCATATGCGGCGGCGACATCGTACTCGCGGACGTCATGGGAGCCATTTCTGCCAAGGAGGAGGAGAAATCAGACGAAGCCGATCGCGTTTGTACTGATCACCGTGGAAGACGAGAAGCTACCGACGTTGCGTTGATGAGAGGCTGATACATCCACCAAACGTAGCTCTCGAACACCAACACGTCGACCGCCGCCCAGTGCTGGCTGTGTTCTGTGATGGAGTCCAGCTTCACCTGCCTTCTCTGAACTGTGTGCTTCGTGGCGTGATCAGAGTTCGATTCCACTAGAAACGGAGCCCAGTAGAACTCGATCGATGCATTGAACTCCTGCCCACCAGCGTAAACATGAAGAACAAGCAATCACGGTAGCGATCGACATGGACTAGCTTGTACCTCCGCCACAAAAACCTTCCTTGGGGGATCCTTGTGGATGAACCGTTTGCCGTCGGGGACTGCAGGTTGGAGGAGGCACACCATGGACTCCCACTGCGTCCTCTGTATCGAGTCGCCGACGAACATGAGTCTCTTGTTCCTCAGCCTCTCCAGCAACTTCAAAGCATCGAACCTTGCAATGGCGCATGGGGATGCGATGAGATCTATGGAACGAAGTTTAGCAGACTATGAGGGCGGGAGCGGGTCAAACCTTGGCAGATCACATGCGTCCGGTTTCCACCGCCACTTCTGGTAGAGGGAGTCCGGGCGCCCGTTCCTCCCACAGGTCACTTGCCTGGTCAAGTAGGGGCAGCTCTCCTCGGTGTAGAGAGGGCGAGAGTTGTGCTCATCCAACACCCACCTCCCTTGGAAGAGATTGCATCCTTGTTCGAGTACGTCAGCAGGGTCTCCATGAGTTGTCGAGAAATAGATTTTAGTCAGGAAAGAAAACTCTACGATCGTTCGCAGTGTGCCGACGACCAGAATCGACGCCGAGACGAAGAGGAAGAGAGCTAAGAGAGATTGGTTGGAAAGTGGCAGCCACATTTAGGAGGGTGAGAAATATGGAGGAGGAGGAGGAGAAGTCATCTTTGCTTCCCCTTTTCCTTTGTTGGTTCTGTCATCGGATGATGCCTTGCACTTGAAGTGTCCAACAAACATGAATCCAACCACCACAAGAGTAAGCTGAAAGACATGGTTCTTGTTGCTTGTGGAGATGGAAATCCAAGAGACGGATCGCTCCTTCCCCTAATGCTACGCGGATGCGGTAGCGTGCAGCGCACGTTTTGGCCGAGAGAAAGCGCGGCATGCATTTCCACTCCAAAAACCTGGCTGCCATTTCCAAGTCAAACGGAACTCAACCCTGTAAAGTCAAAGTCGGCAAAGTGCATTTCCGAGTGATTTCTTGGTCCAAGATTTGGAATTCGCCTGCCTTGAACTGTTTCTTGAATATGCATAGTTTGTAGATGTTTGATGCGTAGAAGATGTTGTAGAACAACAACATGCGTGCTTCTCTCCTCTCGTTCCTCTTCTTCTGCTCCTCTCTCTATTGCGCCAAAGCAGCTAGCGTTTACATTGGTGCGCTGGTAAACACCGAGTCTCGCGTCGGGAGAGAGAAGAAGGTGGCAATTGAGATTGCAGCCCGACACTACAACTCCTCTTCTTCATCGCTTCTTCTAAGTGTCAGAGAGTTTAACAGCGGCGCCGACCCCCTCGAAATATACACGAAAGGTGATTCATTTCTTCTTTTAATGGCAAGAGAATCTATTGCTGATACCATGCATACATCTGTGGTGGTGCAGCTCAAGATCTCATGAACTGGGGAGCAGAAGCAATCATCGGCGCGGGGACCTGGCCGGAGGTCGCGGTCTTGGCAAGACTTGGCAGCACTGCAAGAATTCCAGTAATCTCTCTCGCCACGACACCAACCCCCTCGTCACCGATGCCTTTCTTGGTTCGGATGTCGTATCCGAACTCCGGCGAGGCGCGCTGCCTCTCTGACGTCGTGAGATCATACAACTGGAGGAGAGTCATAGTACTGTACGAAGATGATAGCTATGGCAGCATATCTGGCGTCGTCCCTCTCCTTTCTGATGCGTTTCGAGCCGGTGGTTCTCGGATCGACCACCATATAGCATTCCCACCATGGCACACGGTCTCCGATGACGACGCAGCGGACACAGTTCGCCAGAAGCTGAAGCACGTCCCTCCACAGCTATCGAAGGTGTCCATCGTCCTGCGATCCTCACCAGAGCTGGCCGTCCATCTGTTCAAGGAGGCAAAGCTGCTGGGGATGATGGCAAAGGGTCACGTATGGATTGTGAATGACGACATCACCGCCCTCCTCGACTCCACCGATCTCAGCTCCTCCTTCATCTCTTCTTACATGCAAGGTGTGATAGGAATCAGTACCTACGTCAACACGACCACCAGCTTCTTCCACGACTTCTCTTCGGAATTCCAGCAAAGATTCGACCAAGAGTACGGAACAAAGGGTAAGCAACCGGGGATGCATGCGGTCCGAGCGTACGACGCGGTGCATGTTCTGGCTCATGCGGCAGCAGAAAGGGCCGAGAACAGCAGCAGCATCGCGTTGTTGGAAGGTGTCCTACTTGGCAATTTTTCTGGGTTGAGTGGCTCCATAAGCTTCACAAGAGAGGGGAGCTTGCCTGAGGACGGGAGACGAAACTCGGCCTTCCGTGTCCTAAACGTAGTAGGAAGGAGTTACAGGGAGCTAGGGTTTTGGTCAGAGGGATATGGTTTCTTCGAGGAGGAGACGGAGATGGCGCATGGGAGGCCGGTGGTGGATGTCCTGCGTCCGGTGTTCTGGCCAGGAGGCACTGAGAGGACCCCAGGTGGGTGGGGCATGCTAAGGATCGGAGTACCCAATCACACGACCTTCGATCAATTCGTGAAGGTGGAATACGATGACAGTACTGGGAAGGTGAAGGGGATAACCGGATTCTGCATTGACGTCTTTCGGGAGATTCTGAAACACTTGAGCTATGATCTGTATTACGAGTTCATACCTTTCGCTGGCTCCTACGATGATCTCGTGAATCGGGTCCCTTTGCAGGTACATAGATGATCTTTCTTCGTAGCAAGTGTGAGTCGAGCTCTGATGCATCAAAAATGTTGTTCCAGGTAATCGATGCAGCGGTGGGGGACTTCACGATCCTGGCAAAACGGGCGGTGGATGTCTCGTTCACCGAGCCGATTCTCTCATCAGGCCTTGCGATGATGGTGCCCTTGAGACCCAACCACACGCCATGGATGCTCATAAAGCCATTCACGAGAGACGTGTGGTTCCTTATCCTTGCCACCCTGATCTACACCGCAGGCGTTTTGTGGTACCTGGAACGCGACAGTAATCCCGAGTTCCATGGCACTTGGTGCGTCCAGCTCGGAGCTGCGCTGTGGCTAATTTTCTCCACCATCTTCTTCGCCCATGGTAAACCGAATCGATCAGGATTCGACATTGTATGTCATACCAGTGATTTACCTGACCCGTGTCATGTTTCCTTTTCTTAACCATGAAGGAAGGATCCACAACTACTACACGAAAACGGTGATGGTTGTGTGGCTGCTTGTGGTCTTCATTTTGACATCCAGCTTTACAGCGAACCTCAGCTCCATACTAGTTACTGAGAAACTTGGAGCGGTGCCACCAGGAAGTAGGGTTGGCTATGATGGCGACGCCTTTGTACTCAAGTACCTGAAGGATGTGTTAGGTTACAAGGAAAGAAACATTGAGTGGATTAGATCACCAGAAGCCTACAGCGAGGCCTTCAAGAGTAACAAGATATCAGCTGCCTACCTTGAGACGCCTTATATCAGGGTGTTCCTCTCCCGGTACAACGATTTCACGGTCAGTGGGGAGACACACAGGCTGGGCGGCTTTGGCTTTGTGAGTCTGTCTCATCTTATCTATCCCTGCCTGCAATACGAAAAATACTTCATTGCCCTGATAATAAAATGCAACAATGCAACATTTTTCACGAAAAATTTCAAATTTAGCATGCAATTGCATATATATATATATATATATATATATATATATATATATATATATATATATATATATATATATATATATATATATAATTTCTTAAGCAGGCATTTCGATACTCTTTTGCACTCTGAATTACTCAACCAAGTACACTATTAACATTATGTTTACTTTTCCTCTTAACTCAGGTGTTCCCCAAAGATTCTCCTCTGGTTGCTGACTTCTCCCAAGTCATACTGCAACTAGCAGAGAACGGAGCACTAAATAACCTAGAAAAGAAGTGGTTTTCGGTCGCCTTGTCCAGCTCTCCAACCCCAGACAACGACAGGAAAAAGGAGAGCCTAAGCTTGGACAGCTTTTGGGCACTCTTCCTGTTCACTGGTTGCACCTCGACCATTATCTTATTGGTCTTCAGTGCCCACTCATTTCTTCTGACTAGGGCCAGAGCAGCAGCAGCAGTATCCTTTGAGCCCCTGAGACAGAGTTTTAAGAAGGTTTGGACAGCAACTGCAAAACTCATTGAAAAAAGAGAGAGTCCTAAACCCTCTGAGCAACAAGGGAGCGGTATGAACAGTCCATGAGGATGAAGGCAACTCTGCAGGACTCCATGTACCCGATGACACTGATGACAACTGCAGACAATGATGTATCAATATGAAAAAAGAGAGGTTCAAAAGAAATTATAGTGATAAAAACAAAATTTGTACCTTAAAGAGATAAACTATCTGTTACTAGAACTAGCATAAAGTTGTAGTATCCTTACCAACAAGAGGTGACTGAAGAAGATATTGTTAAATCAGTCAAAATGAAGGACATCAAAGGTGTCTTCTTTCTACATGCACCCACTGCGATGGGAAAAACCCAAAGAAGTTGGTAGATTGCAAAGTCTAAAGTTAGATACATATTCAAGGTTATCAAGAAAGATAAAATGAAAATAAAGCTTTGCAAGATAAATATAACTACCAAGAAAAAGAAATAAGAAATTACATTTAAAGAACACATATTATTTATAAGAAAAAAATTGTCTTTGATAACCTAACATAACACCATAACCATATCAGGACTCAGATAACAGATAAGCTCAAAAGTTGAATCCAGAGACTCCCTACAACATCAACTAAAAATAATGAAGAAAATATTAAAAAATTACTAGAAGAATAGACAACCCCTACCAGGCAACCACTAGAACTTTGGTGAGGAAGCCTGATCATCCTTTTCCTTTCTAACTTGACCAGGACTGAATAAAGAAAACTTTAGTCGTTTCATAACAACGTCATGTATACACTAGCTGACAACTCTCTTGTCCTCTAAATTAAACAAAGCTGTCTTGTTAACACAATCAAATGATTTTTGTATCGGACATCAACTTTCACGATCTCATTTTTCAGGTTATATTAATATTTCCATCAGGTTATATTAATATTTCCATCACAAGTGGAGAATTTCTCCACTGAATAGAAGATAGGTCAGAATGCATCATTCAGGCCTAACAGTACAATAGAAAAATTCACAGAACCTTTAAGATAAGCAACTCACCAAGCTTTCACTTCCCAACACTGATACCTTATCAGTGCCTCATTCACAGTCTTAATACTAAATTTGCATTTGCTGTATCTTCTCATCTACATAAGCAACAATAAGATTGACAATACGATCATCTTATATTTTGAGACAATAAGCTGAATAATTTTCAGAGCCCTTTTTCTATAGTAGCATTAGCACATAGTTAGATCGTAATCAAAGGCATGTCCTCATGTGCAGGCATCTATCTTATCGCCCTCTCACATATTTTTATGGCATATTGCTTCCAATGGACATCTGCAAAAATATCATAGACTCGGTATGTAGATTCTTGATGAAAGTATCAAGTGCTCTTTTAAGGGGATTCATCATTTGAGGAGAAGTAGACTACTCAAAAATCTAATGCCCATGATAGGTAATATGAAATTCTGGCACACGTCTTGCATTTAAGAGACAACAATCAAACAAGAACATATGTCACACAAAGATTGATTCGACAATAACAAAAAAGAAGAGTTTAACTGACTTTGGAACAGCTAAAGTAGTCCCTCTAGAAAGAACCTTCATAACGAGACTGTGCCTGGCCAAGAATGATAACGTTGAAGTAGCGCATGTTTCTTCTCATGGAGATGCATTGATCCCAAGTGCTGCAACAAAAGAAACCAAGATGAAGTCAACAAGGAGGAAAAAAACCATGACACTCCAAATAGACAATGTATCAACAACATGTCGTGTTTTGAATCCCAAATAACATCAATGGCTGACTACGTAGAACAATCCGCCCATAACACTATCGCATAGGAATCGACGAAAACGAGGAGGAGAACCACCTGGTTCGCTGACGTTTCCCGTTCGAACGAAGCGTCAAGAAAGAAAGAAAAGGAAAATAAATCAGATCTTCGATCGAAATCCCGTGGAAGAAGGGGACCGGAACCCTATATTAGGGAGACGGAATCTCGGGGGATGAAGGAGACCGGAAGAAGCACCAAGAAAGGAAGAGAGAAAAGGAAAAGAAATTAGATCTTCGTTCGAAATCTCGGGGGAAGAAGGGGACCAGAACATATATCAGGGAGACGAGAAGAAGCACCCCCGGAGGAAGATTGCTGGTCGTCATGCCCGATCCAGATTAGGTCTTTGCGTCGTTTCTTGGAGTCGGAGACGAAGAAGAAATAAGGGTCGGACAACGACGACGAGAACGGAGAGAGCTCAGACGATAATATATATACACTAAAATATACAAAATAAAATTCAAAATATAAATATTCTTGTAATTAATCTCCGTTGAGTTACTATAAGATTGCTATAAACAGTCATATCTTAATCGATATTAATACACCTTAAAATTTTCTTATAGTGATAAGAATTTTCAAAATTATTAAAATATTCTTTAAACAATTATAATTATCTCATATGTAAATCATCTTTGAGTTGAGTTTTCAGCATAAGCAGAGGATCTGAATATATATATATATATATATATATATATATATATATATATATATATATATATATGAACTTTTACAAGAATATTATTAGGTAGAACGTCATTTTTAGCTATCAACAAAAGATTCATTAATAACTATGACGACACGTGAAAGTAAGAACTTCGAGTAGAGCAGGATACATATGACTTACCACTGAGGGCAGGATACCTTCATTTTCCTTCTTTTGTATGTCTAATGTAGAGGAAGATTCCAATAGATAGACATTTATATATCAAAGAATTTGTGCATCAAAACACTTGTATGGTTAATTAGCTTGATGATTCTACAACATCTAAGAGAGAGCAACCACCCTTAGCATCAGATTTGCCAGTGTTTCTCTGCAAACAAAAAAAAGCTTTTGTTTCCTTTCAGTAAACAAAGATTGGTTTCTATCATTGCGTTCTTATTTGATTGAACAATGTAGGCAAATATCTACAGTACATTGTGAGTTACAGATGCAGCACCATGATCTGAATATTAAAATGCTTAGGGAGAGAGAGAGAGAGAGCAACACAGCCCTGGGTACTATATTTACACCGGAAGAATTGCTGATTTACACACACATTTTGTAAATTATTCAGCATGCTGACAGCTGAACTAAAAAGCATTTTATCCACACTTAAATCAGGTTGGAATGTTCGATCGGTTTAGCTGTCTGTCATCGGCATCCTCATTGGTGCCCGGCTGCTTGATGAGATAAAAAATGTATGAACAAACTAATGAGTGAAACATATGTAAAAGAGAAACAAAAAATGAGTTGGACCTGGTGAATTGTGCTTGCCTTCTCCGAGACTGCAAAACATTGGCAGTGTTACATTGATGTAGCCTGTGGTTGAAGACTTATCTTTGACATCGAAGTACATCTCAGATTATATGACTGCAGATAGCAACAGAACAGCATCATGAACAATGTCTTTATTAGTAGAATTAGAGTTCCTGTGATTCGAGAACATGCACCCTGGATTAATCATGGATTTTTAACACTTGATTATAGGACTTTATGCTTGGATGCAGTATTGATCACACGGATTCTTGTAATTTGTAAAAGCCCATCATTAGTTTTGGGGATATAAGAAATCAATCTTTCACAAAGATTTGCAATAGAAATTAACCTAGAAGTGGCAATATAGCTAATTTCATGAGATTCAGTTTGAAACTAAGGCCTCTATTGTGCAGATGATGCTAGCTAATTTGCATATCATGGATAATGCAAGGCATTTTTGTTACAAAGAAGAAATGCTGTATGAAATATTTTATCAATAGCAAGTCCAATTTGACTACCAATATCACTCATGAAGCTGAAGTCTTTCTAAATCATGATTCAGACCAACCTTGTTCCTGATTTGACAAAGCAATTCTCCCCATAAGTCGACTTCTTTGTTACTGGCACCTTCTCTCAGATTTTTCTGCTTATTTGGCTTCTGCTGATCTTGCTGCAGATATAATTTACAAAAAATGAGGAAACGGCAGGTATAGCATATATCAAAATATAACCAACTGCGATATGTGAAAGCACTGCAAATGTTAAATATGTCATTACTGTTTTGTTAGAGTATGGCATCATCAGGTCAGAATCACATGGTTGTCTTGGTGCACTCTGATCTTGTTGATGAGGAGAAAAAGATGTAGGAGTTTGTAGACCATTTAGATAATTGGTGTTGTCAGTGAAGTTAGCAGCCTCATCTCCTCCTGAAGTAATTGATGGCTTTGATATCCTCCACTTCATTGGAGGAAGTGGTGGAGGTGGTGGCAGATGGCCATTTGTTTTCATCTGAACACTTGCTGGTTCATCTGATGAAGAATCATGCCTTCTTTGTTGATTCCCTAAGGATACAGCAGAACCTCGAACAGGAAGCTTCAAAGTTGCTACATCTTGAAATGTACCTTCAGTGTTCCCAACACCATAACGACCCAATCCACTTTCCATATCCATCATGGATTGGTTCACTTTCTCTAATTTCATATAGCCAGAAAAAGAGGCATTCAACATTGAAATTCTAGGTGAGACATCACATAACTCATGGTCTTCACATTCACTTCTCTCATCTTTATCCCACAGCTCAGAATTAGCGTCTGTGAGAGGGCTAAAGAGATCCTCTGAGGAAGGACATGATATACAAAATGTATCGTCATCTGACTCTGAACCATTATCTGGTGATGAATCAACTGGGCCCTGAATCAATTGAAATGCTGGAAAGATGGAGTCCTCACTGGTCTCGGGGAGACTGCCATTGAGAACTTTAAGTTTCATTTTGGAGGTTTCCAGGCCATTCATAGGCTGAAAAGAGATTTTCATATGTTCAAGAGGTGGAGAAGACTGTTCCGGTAAATATGAAGTTGAAGAGGTTGACCTTTCCAAAGACTCACCATCAAACTGCTTTTTGATGCCCTGTCCAAAGAATGCCAGAGAAGCTGCTTCACTTGGTGCTTTCATGCGGTTATTTAGGCGTGAAATATCCTCTGATTTCCTTTTATCGCCAGAAGGTACAGAACCATCAGTATTGGCAATTGATCCCTTTGTTTCAAGTGAGTTCGCAAGAAACCTTTGTCCAGGTTCAGAAAAACCTGATGAGCTACCCTTTGTACTTTGGTTATATGCATGATACTGTGACTTAGTATTATAGACAACAGACAAAGGAACACCATCTACAACAGCACTGTTTTTGGTTGTAACAGGTCTGTTGGAGCTTACATTGGTGACAATCGAGTGATTTTCTCGACCCATATCACATACTCCTAATGAAAGGG